TGATGAAGTTACTACCACTGATGTGACTGTTACCGATGATAGGACATTTCCTGATGAAGCAGATGAACGGCAGTGTTGCGTCAGCGAGGTCACGTGACTAGTATCACGCCACTTCCTTCTCGAACCTTCGTGAATTGTCGGGAGATTACTAGATTGGGGTAGTCTGGTATATATAAGATGGTCACAACGTGACGGGGCAATGTGTAGGTAATGAGTAATTGAACTGCACTCAGAGAGTGTGTAATTGAACGGAGTATTGTTGAAGTCGAGCTCGTGAGACGTTTGTTATAGCGCGACTGTTGAAATTAAGTGTATCGCAAAGTTATATTCAGAAAGAATAAACCAGTTTTATTTAAGAAAGGATTTGTGTCGCTAAAGTTTCATTGGAACGAATTTACGGAAAATCAACTAACGAACAGAGACGTAACAATATAAAACCTCAAGTTCAAATCCCTTTACAGTGTGTTTTTAATGTTTAATATTTTATATTTATTATCATATTTATAGTAAGATCTTCGATTATTCTGAAAAATACAAATACATTTATACATTAAATCAGGGATCGTATCATATTATATATAAACACTTGCGTCTGTCTGTACTAAACACAACTTAAATATCTTTTCAACCCAACAGATAGCGCTACAGTACATCACTATCGATGTTTTTCAACTTAGGTAACAGATTTTTAAAAAGTTACTCAAAAATTCTATACACATTTTTTATTAAAAGGTATATATTCGTGTATTTGCCCTTCACCATCAAATTCTTTACCTTTGCTATCAGAATTGATAAATAGCAGGGTCAGACATTTGACTATGTAGGAATATTTCTTCGACAACCACTTTTTTTCGCATGGTTCAATCTGTAAGGCTTTATTTAGCAAGAAACAGTTGAACATAACATAAAAACATACATAAGTCAAAATTATAATCAAGGACCACTTACAGGATATGAACAAATATACGTAAACATTTTTTCGTGAAATATTACAAAAAGGATGAACATTCTTTATGCATATATTGAAGCTACAATATAATTAATTTTTAGAAAACATGTTCATCAAACATTTATTTAGATTTAATTTTCAGAAGTACAATTAATCACCATTTACCGTCATATGACGGGTATTCAGCTAGTAATTATTATAACATCGTAAACTAAATTTAATATAGTGAACTACAAACTAGTTACTATTTATAATACATTGCTTAGATAAATTGAGTTAAAACCCGAAATATCCTTCAGTCTAACATAACAATAACCGCCTTTACCAAGTCTTACATAATGAAACTCGAAATGTGTATCTATTTCTAAGTAAAGCAACATCTACACGTACATCAGGTAAATTCCATACAGTGAAACACAATATATTCATAGCTTAAACAAATAAATATTATATATTCAAAGCATACGTAAAATTAATTTTAACCTAAAGTTCTTACGAAACTATTAATTTCAATGAAATTTTCCCTATGATTCACACTCCAAAATATTCTTCGATAGTCCTCAAATAACTGACGTTCACAAGGGAGAATTTTCTGTTTAAGAAATAATAGTTCTCCAGGTACAAAACAATACTTTTACCACTAGTTAGAAATTAATTAGTTAAATAATTTCTGAAGATTTATCATTTTCTGATTCTAAGTTGAAACTTCTCTGTGATGAATTTATAAGTTAGGCCTAATTAACTGTAATAATATACAACGAAGGAAAAATTAGCTCGAATCTCACTCGTATCGTTCTTTCATATACCGGGAATTATCTGTTTCGTTTCGTGATCCCGATAAAGACCTGTAATTAACCCGAATGCCTAGGTTTAAGTAATATTTGTGTATTTTTGTTATGTATGAGTTTACTGGAAAGTATATTCCCTCGAATTGGAGAAACTTTTTCTGGCTGGCTATTTTTTTTTTTTTTGTCACCAATGGAAGTGTCATGTTCTTCTCTTTGGCAGTTTATAAAATTTCAATATATTTACTGTATACTTCTCAAAAGTTGTTCAATGTTAGTCAACTTTTAGCTCAGAGATCAGTCGAGAGGGTTCTTCGAGGTGAAAATCTTTCATTGACATTAATCACCTGTTCTCTGTTCCACTTTTCTCCGTTATTACTGAAGATTCCCAAACTTAAACCATCATTCTTGGAAGACGAGCCATTGTTCTTAATTAATCCAGAGTTCCTGAATACGCTATCGTCAGATATACTCCCGTCATCGTCCTTTGTTACAGAAAAGCCATTTCCAATTAATAAACGGACCTTGTCGTCGTTAGAGGAGCTGGAGGGATAGCCGGAGTTTGGACGAGAAGCTTGGTATTTCCTTCCTTCGTTAGATAGGTCGTTCTGTAGGTAATGGTCTGTCTGTGTCGTTTTGGAGACGACACGAAGTCGAGTTTTCTGGTCGACTGAGGATTGAAAAACTGAAAATCCAGTCGGTTGTGATGAAGACTGGATTAATGATTTAGAAAGATAGTAGTACTGGGAGAAGTCCTGATAATGGGTGTGGAGAGGACCACTTCTAGAGTGAGTAGTGAGCTGTCGAACTAAAGTCAGAGTCACTCGAACGTCATCACTTAGTGTTACCACACTCTTGGTAAGAGACTCCATCTGTGCGTCTAACCTTCCCAAATTGTTTCTGGCAATCTGTAGCTCATCATGAAGTTCATAAAGCTCCAACGTCCGACCTAAAAGTTTCCCACATGTATACGTTACATTATTTCTTGTTACACTTTTATATATGGTTTCACACAAATTTTAAACTAACGTTTAACATGTATTATCTAACGCTACACAAATATTAAAGTTAGTTACACTCATCGTAGAGTATTACATATAAACCATAAAGCAATCTTTTGTTTCACATGTTCGTTAAATTTGATTAATCTTTAGTAAAAATATGTCCCTTGAAACTGATACAATCAACATATTATACGTATAATTTGTTGTCTGTGAAAATGAGACGATTGTTATCGTGCAGAAAACGTACACCTTTATTAACTCATTTGTTCATTGTATAAAAAAAAATACATATTAAAATAACACTAAACATATTCCTTCTTACCAATATTAGGATGAGTTGCTACTGGTCTAACTTTATCATAATTCGGCGGTGCTCGCTCAGCCATGGAACTTCGAGTTTGTTGGAAGGCAAAATCAGAGCTGCAGTCCCAAGGCATCTCATCTCTAGCAGACAGAGAGAGAGAAAATGATTAACTCAGGAAAATACATTCGTTGTTACTTTATTTATGTTGCATAACTAATTCTAAGGTAAGTGTTACCACATAAGATTAAACCACTGTGAATACATTAGATGATTGGAATGTTTATGATGAGATTTTTTACTTTTTTCTGCAATAATTGTTTGATACTTTGTTAGATAAGACGATTGTTACACTGTTAAATAAAGTAGCTGTATTTTGTTTTAAAGGGTATCATCTTTTTCACATCTTTCCGCCCCCACAGTGCACAGTAGTATGTCTGTGGATTTACAACGCTAGAAACCGGGTTTCGATACTCGCGGTGGGCAAAGCACAGATAGCCCATTGTGTAGCTTTGTGCTTGACTTCAAACAAACAATCCAACACATTTTTCCTTTGTTAGGTAATGTAACTACTACATTGTTATACGTATTATATACCATTTTGTTGTAGGATAAATCTGCAGAAGGTTCTGCTGCTACTACATAAGGTAAATACTTCGTTGCTTCGTGATGTAACTGCTTCTTTGCTATGATGGTTAATACTTTCTTTAACATGGATAGCCGCTTTTTATTGTTAAGGGTAGCTGCATTTGTTCACATGGCAGCTGATATGTTGGTGCATGGAATATACACTTTTATTGGCGCTCCGGAGTACTGCTGTTTTATTGCAAAAAGTAGCACGTTCTCTATTATATCTGGTAATTAGTACTTATTACATGGTATACCCATGCCTTTTTGTTACATGAAATTCACGTGGTATATTATGCTTTGTTATGTGGTGTAGAAATTATTGCTAAAAATTGGTGACTTACATTCTAATTTTTTATTATAGGTAGTTTTTGTTGTTGTGATGTGGTGGTTAGGATATTGATTGTAATAACTAACAAGTAGCAAATATGTATAAATTTAGTAGAATGGAAAAATACGAAATCGGAGTTTAAGTATAACACATATGGTAAAGATCAGAGAGTTAAGTTGGTAGTACCTTACAAGATATACAATACTTAGCACAATGAATTTTTTAGTTATACTCATGTCACGTAAGTGTGTAAGGAGAGTAAACAGCAATACCACAATTCGATCCTATGATATAGTTGAATTTGTGAACCATATTATATTGTTTGTTTGTTTGTTTTGAATTTTCGCGCAAAGCTACACGAGGGCTATCTGCGCTAGCAGTCCCTAATTTAGCAATGTAAGACTAGAGGGAAGGCAGCTAGTCATCACCACCTACCGCCAACTCTTGGGTTACTCTTTTACCAACGAATAGTGGGATTGACCCTCACATTATAACATCTTACTCTACGTTACAGAAGCAGCAATTCTTTTTTAACATGGAAAACGTTTTCTTTGCTTCGTGTGGGTGCACAGACTGCATGTTTCTTTACTACATAGACCCGGTGGTTAGAGAACTCGGCTCGCGAGTTTAAACCCGTCACCGAACATGTTCACCCTTTCAGCTGTAAGGTCATAATAATGTGACGGTCAATCCCACTATTCGTTGGTAAAGAGTAGCCTAAGAGTTGGCGGTGGTTGATGTTGATTATTTGCCTTCCCTCTAGTCTATTACTTTTAAATTAGGAATGGCTAGCGCAGTTAGTCGTCGAGTAGGTGTACGCAACATTCAACAAACAAACAATTATTTACCACATGGTATAGTTCTGTTACGTGAAAAAACAACATATTCTTGTTATGTTGTATAGATGATGGTCTGTTACATATAATACTTCATTCTTTATTACAAATCATACTTTCTTCTTCCTTAAAATTAGAAGAAAAAAATGTATTTGTGATCTGAGGTAGTTATTTCTTTTACATGATACGATAATCTGGCAAAAGCCTGTAAGATCATTTCTATTCACTTACATATAACTAGTAAGTTATTACTGTGAATTATAAGGTCAGTTGTGCTCAACTAGGCATCTAGTAAACTATTATGTCGAGAGTAGTTAAGGCCATCTGTGTTCAAAAATGTATCCTGTAAGTTATTCTGTCGAGAACATAAAACCAATTATGTTTAAACATGCATCATGTAGCTCATTTGTGTTCGTTAATTAATGTGTAAGGTAAGCTATTTAGGTGAGGTTGTAAGGTTCTTTTCCCAACTATATTTTTGACCATTATTTTCTGTGGGCACATGTTTCCTTTAAGTAAATTGCTCAGCTTTTGCTTAGACTGAAACATTTTTATCATATAATGAATAAAGTTTGAACATTACACTCATTCCTACAAAAGGTTTTTTTGAGCACACGTTGTCTACAGAATCGGGTTGTAACATACCCTTGAAAAGAATGGGATACTCCCGTCTTTATTGGTGTACAAAGTGTGGGGGAAAGGAGTAGTGAAACTTGGTCTGCATCGTCGCTGCTGTCATTCTCGTCATCCTCTGATATTGAGTGCAAGGCTAAGGAACAAGTTCCGTTCGTCATGTCTTCCTAAGAAAAATAAGTTCAAAATACTTTAAATCTTTTTAATACTTCCAAAACTTTTAGAAAAATAACAAATTCACGACTTTAAATTCAGATCTAAAAATCTGCACTGTATGAAACTGATAAATTTCAACAATTTTCTAGACTATTTTAGAACTATTTAATTTAAATACTTCATACAATTCTTCCACTTAGCATTCGAGAAAGCGTTATTTCATACTAAAATACATATAAAAATACTCTTTTACAACCTAACTGAAAACTAGTCTGCCCCAAGTTGCTTAATTACTCATGAAATATTTACAGGAAGTTAGTGGAAACATTTAGAGAAAGTATTTCTTTTTATTTCAATAAAAATAAAACAAAAAAATATATTAAGTAGCTTATATGACATTTATGAACAAAGATAGTTACGCAAATTTTATTATAGTCATTGATTGAACAATCAACACACTTCTATGACGTAAATTTAGAAGTAAATCGAATCTATTCATACGGGGTTCATAATGAAGTGTCGACGTTTGCGCGTAGACTAGTCACAATATGTTATACCTACCATTTTTGTGGTTATGTTCTTAAAGGAGAATTGTGATTCCGCGACAGTTTTCACGTTCTCATAATTTACTGAGCATCGCCCTTCTTTTAAGATTTCATCGAACAAGATAGGTATCAACTGCCAAGTGTCTACACAGCGTGTAGACACCACCTCTTCAGAAAAAAAATGAAATTTTTCAGTCATATTCACATGAATTGATATATTTATAATTTATTTAATA